AAATCATCCTTAAGTTTGAGTTGCACGTTGAAAGTGCAGCTCAGGACAAGCTATTTTAGGTAATGTTTTCGTACGCCAATCTCAGCATTATTAAGGTCCACATGGTCGCGTAAGAGGCTAATAGTTTCTGTGAGTAGGACATTCATAAATACAGAAGCTACATTTAGCTATTTCATTTTCTTTCCTAATAAATTGATGTTCGTTATTGAGTTCACCAAATCAAAAGGGTCTGAAAAGCTATGTCTGAAGATTCGGTTTGTAGTCGGTTGTAGAATTTCCACCAACCATTTGGCGATGCAGAATTATTACCAACTATTATCGGACAAAGACGGGGATCTTTCTTATGCATGTTTGGGAGCATATACAATATTATGATAGAAGATCCTGACGGCTTCAAATATTTAAATAGGTTGTCTGTCATGATTCGTACGGTCCGCTTTTTGTAATTGACTGGACAGAAGCTATCATAGTTTGGATAAACATCATTCCATGTACCTTGGCAATAAATGTGTCTTGCGGTTATCCACCTGAATTTCGTTTGATTTCAATATCTTAGATACGTTGTACTTTATGGTACATAGTAAAATATACATATCAGTGTGTTCATTGTTAAATAGATTGAGTAAGTACATACAGTGCTTTTGATTGTTGCAAATAAGAAACGTATCATCAACATATCTGCAATAAAATGTAGCTCTTTCAGTTATGTGCCTAAGCTTCGTCTTTTCCAGGTTCCCCAGATATATATCATCCAGAATAGGGCCTAAGGGACCACCCATGGTGACCCCATCAATGTTTAGTGCACATGAATAAGAGCTGTTTAAATTCGTTGATTGATGAAGGGAGGAGCCCAGAGTAATGACAAATAATTTCAACTATTTCTTCAAGGGGAAACATCGAAAGATACCATAAATTTATTAGAGACATTTAAGCCACTCAGCAATTTTACATAATTCAAATCTATCCATCAAACCATAGGAAGCTAGATTCTTTTAGACTGAAGTTTATGGAAAGATCGCAGATGTTTGTTTTTTGTGTTTTGGGTAAGCCATGCAAGAAAGGTAATTGTGATCCTTTATTAAAAGCTTCTTTTCTGTCCCATCTGTCATGCCTTTCTGAGTGTCGTCGTTGATGAACCTCATGAAATCATTTTAAATGGATATTACTTAGTTGATTTATTCGCCTCTACTTAAGATTACAGATACCTTATCTGATCGAAGTAGCATTGTATTTTGAGCTTTCACTAGTTTTTCAGTGCATCATGATGGTCGTTAGTTAGAACTTAAGATTGTGGAACTGATCACCTAATGTATTGACAGGTAAAATCTGACGGCAGTTAGCATAAATGCTGAAATTAAGTTTCATTGTCAATTTTGTTGCATTTTTTCGGAATATAAAATTTAAATCCATCAGAGAGCACTTCCATTTCTAATCAACTTAACTTTTGCCTAAGAAATTCTGTGTTTTTACTCGATTATTGAGGACAGTGTATTTGTGTTCTGTTACAAGTGTTTCAGGTAGTATTTTCATCAATTTTAGGGTAGTTTTCTTTTTTTAACTGAACATTGTGAATAAAATTCGTGAGTTTAATTCAACATACCATATTTAAATCCATAACAATTTTATGAAAAGCAAAGAATTCTGTTTTCATTTAAGTGAAAAGTTCCCAGGTGCATTGGATTTGAGATTTTGTGAGACGACGTAGGTTTTTTGATGAGAGAGGTATTCTGCATGTAAGTACAGCTTCAAATTAGCATTATTCTACCTCATTTGTTGTTCTGGTCCTATTTAGATCCAGAATTTTTTCCTACGCACTGTTGATTACATTATTGTAATAAGGCAAGTTAATGCTTAGTGACGAGTTTCACTCAACAATGATCCGTAATGTCATGTCTAGGTTGGCACACGATAGAGCTTTACGGAAACCATTTTGTTGGTCCTGAGGTCAGGTGTCTACTAAATTTTCCGTTCGGTTCAACAGTGCTGTTGAGAACTTCTCTTTGTACTGACAGTAGTGTGATGTCTCTGTAATTCTCACTTTTTCCGAAATCTGCTTACTTTGGTATCTTGATGAGGTATCTTTTTTTATAGTCAGTCGGTACTTGGTCTTCTTCCTAAATCTTTCTTCAGAAAATGTAAAGGAACCTTGCAGTCGTCTCTATATCTGAGTTTATTGATTCTATTTGTATATTACCTGACTTTGCTATTTTGCCACTCCCGATTTGTCTGATTACTTCGTTAATTTCTTTGAGTACTATGAGGACAGTATATATGTTGCTTCAATGTCGAGTGTGTTCAATGAGGCCTTTCCATTAAAAGCCCTTTAAAGTGCTCTCTACCCAATAGTTTCACCATTTTTGGATCACACTGACTGATTTGTCCTCTTTGTTCTTGACTGAAAAATTTGACACCCTACATTCCTTTGCTAGCTTCTTCGTTGTATCGTATCGTTGTCTCGTATTTCTTTCTCTTTCAGGACTTTTGCTGTCATTGCTTGGGTTTCCACATATTTCCGGTTGCATGATTCCCCCAGATGATTACGTTTTACTACAAGCTGTCATAACGTTTTGTATCAATACTCTTCAACTCGTAACTTACTTACTTACCTATGATAAGCAATCAAGCATAAGCCACCGAATAGCGAATGATTTTCCTGGTTCGCGTTTTTTTAGTGAGTTAGGTTTCTACGGGACAGAGTGGCTAACCCCATGCCCAGCCTTCCTCTTTTATCTGGGCTTGAAATAGGCAGTAACCCTAGAAGGGCTTCCGGCAAAGTTTGAATGGTATAATCAGGTTTTTCTCTAGTTAGCTTTTTCTTCAGCAAGATTGTTTTGACACTGTGGGAATGCTAAATACACACCCAACTCTTATCTTTTACCGAGGTTCAATATATGCTTTGTTTTTCCATTCCAAAATATATCCATAAGTATTCATACGAATCACCGCATTATACAGATTTCATTTAAATATGACAACTAGAACTTTCCTTCAAATCCTATGAAAATACACCTGTCAACCCTATTGAATGAATCTTCAGAAATAAATACTCAGTATATTTAATTTTAATACAATCAATATTTATCAACATCTTTCCATAAACTATCATAAATTACTTATAACACTGTATAGCAGATTACAAAACTCATGTATTAGTTTGCAGTTCTGTTTATGAATACTTAACATTTAAATAGCCTAAACATTAGATGGTTAGTGGCAATCGGCAGAAATCCAGAAGCTTAGGTCTTACACTACATCTGATTACTTATATCAATTCCGAGTAGTATCACTCCTTTTCCTTTAAATATACTTTGCTTTCAGAGGTCTTATGAAAATAACATAGATTAGACATTGACAAACTCAAACTTCATACCTATTCGATTTAATTATGAATTTCATAGTAATTTGCTTTGAAATAGATTGTACGCATTTGAGAAATGATATTTAACATGTGTAATAAGTAAGCTGAAGGAAAATTTAAAAACATATGACCCTTTGTTGTATTATTCATTTGGATATGTATTAACAGTGCTCACCGAAGACAGTGTATGAGGTTGCGCAAGACCATGAATTAATCGAAGTTAAACATCAACACCGTTAGATACCAGCTCAGTGGTCTAGAAGTTATGCCTTCGCGCGCAAGTCCGAAGGTCTTGCGTTCAAACCCCACGAGGATCAGGACTCGCGGATGCGCAATGCTAGTGACTCCTATACCAGGACAAGACGGCCGTCCAGTGCTTTTAGGTTTCTAATGATGGTCTAACCATGATTGACCCATGATTACAAAAAGTAACTCAACAGTCTCCACAACTCCTTATACAATTATGGAATCTGATGAGAAATTTGCCGAAAGAATACTCTTTGTTCATACATTAATAATGATTTCATATGATGGTGATTTTAAAACACACATATAAATTTATTACAAAACTTGTACAGTTTGAAAATCAATGGTCTAGAAAGTTTTGCAGTCTGCCTGAATCAAATCAAAATCAAGTTAAGTTTATGATTAGTAAATTGAACAACACTCAGAACTATGCGTAGCAGTATACCAGTCGCTCTTTGGTTCTTACTCAATAAAATCAATATTTTCATTCCATTAATCAAAAGAAATAATCAGCTTACAATTATAGAGAATACTTTGGCTATAAAACTAGTTCTGATTCATATAAACTTAGTTGTTGAAATGTGACACAATTATAAAATAGCTTTCCTTTCACACATTGAAATCATGCCATCAATGAATGTTAGACCACCATTTTAAATCTAGAATCACTGAAATCTGGCCGTTTCGTCCTGGTGTGGGGACTCATCAGCGCCGGTGGGCACCCACGACTCCTGCACCTCGCAGGATTTGAACTCAGGACCTTCGATCTTGCTCGCAAACGCCTAAGTATACTTCACTTTTAAATTTCAGTGTGTTAATAACATATGACTTTTGTTTTTAAATAAACATAACAAAGCAAGCAAGAGTTGACTCATTTCTAGGTTGATTGAAAATTTCACTGGAAATGAGGCATTCACTTGTCTAAATTATAAACAAAATATACAGTTACAGTAATTGGTGGCATTGTATTTCTTACCATATGGTGTGAAATAACTTGTATTTGTTGCAAACTCATGTTTATATTTACATACATAAACACACTCACCAAATCTGATTTTTCCGTTATTCAGTCGTAACTTTATTCAATACTAACAAAAATAACAGATTACTGATATGTAGAGAGAGAGAGAGAGGTCAAGTTACTTCAACCTTTATATACAGTTTATTTTAAAGTATTATTTCTAAAGTATTCACGTTTTTTGTTTTATTTCATATAAGATAGTGTTTGTTATTCTGTCCTACTTATATGACAATTTTTTAAAATAACATGAATTTAGAAAATAAAATTGTGCAAACAATTTCCTTTTTCTGTTGTTGAATAAATGAAATCTATCTCTATCCTGAAGCTTTCATTTAACTAGTGTCTATTTTCCCGCCACTCTTTTTTTTTTTCCAGAGGTATCTATCGATTACCAAAAAGTGCAGATCATCCAGTCGATTCAACAGCTGATCGATTCACACCAGCTGAATGTCAAAAAGCCGCCAATGAATTAGGTCTACGAAGGCGACAAGCACGATTTTGTATGCATCCACGTTTTGGTTATGCAATGATTGCGGTATTAAGAGCTGCACATGCTGTCGGTTATCATTGTCCTAAAACATTTTCCGACAGACGATGGAATTGTACTTCGATACATCAACTGCCACATGTATCACCAGAGTTAAAAAGAGGTAATTTCTTCTTTTTTTTTCTGATGAATTATAATTTTATGCTGATTATTGTGGAAAGTAGGAGTTTTGTTGTGCATGAAAACCCAGATGAGGACATCAACACACATATTTAAGCGAATATTACAGAGTTGTTAGGCATATTTACAAAACCTTCCGGTGAATTATCATTTGCAAACTAATCCTTATTTGTTTCAGATTTCAGTGTTCTTTCATTGAGACTGTTCAAACTTCAGTTCACTTTATGTTACCTATAAATCGCCTTCTGTTCTCAGTCTTGCCTTCTCGATCTTTTGCTGTCAGACGTTTGATTTCCATTTGATATCATATACTACTTATGTGAACATAAGTAGTGTACACCACAGTTTCACTTTTAAAAAAATAATATGAGTTAATGTCAGTCAAAAATATTGAGTTATTAGTCATTTTACTTACTTATGACTAAATTTTTATCACTAGTTAGATAGAATGTTGTGAGGCCTTAAACTATCCAGTTGTTGATATATATATATTACTGAATTTTGATCACACTCTCTGCTGAAATAGTTTATATTACTTACAAATAAGTGGTTATCTTAATACAGTAGCTCACTGATTGATACATCGTGCAGATTTGCACAGAATAAAAGAGTACAATGTTTGAGTTCCAGCGTGAACAGTACAATCGAAACACAAATCTGTCTAGCTAACAATTTTTGAATAGGATTGAATGAACTTCTAGGTTGTTCTACTAGCCATAATGACTCTTTTGTTTAAGATGAAATGATTGGTTGGTTAGCACCAGATTTTAAACACATTTTAAAGTGATCGCAAAATAGTTAGATACCTATCAGAAACTTCAACATATTATGATAGAGGTCTCTATTTAGGTTATGAATTATTGATGAAATAAAGTTATCTAATTCAATTGATTTCGTTAAACACCAAAATTTTGAATTATATTAAACTCAGTGTCATTGAAAGTAGTCGACATAATCTGAAGAATGACGGAATAACCAATCATCAGTCTTAATATATTATAAAACTCCTCAATCACATGTATGTATCTAACATTGCGCTAAATACAGAATTAGAAACTCTAGTTTATGCCATCTGTGGTGCACGCTACTTATAAGTAGTATATGACGCGAGTGAAAACGTAATGTCTGGCAGCAGAAGATGGGGGAAGATCAAGAAAGGAAGAGTGGGAACACAATGAGATTCGTATGAAACGCATGAACAATCAAATGTCAGACAATGGATTGATGTTGTTTGTAACAGGAGCAGTCCAGTTCGATATGATGGATTGAAATGTTGCAAGTTAACGATTTATGATTTACTAAGAAAGAAAATGACATAATTAGATGATTTTAGGTTTCACGATATATTTCCTGAGTTTATTGTTGTTCGACTATGTATTCGGTAAAATCAGTACAGTTGAAAGTAGTGATCTGATCATCACTGATCGATTACATAGAATGTTAGACGGTGACAATGATTTGGTAACTGATGCATTGATTGTTACGGGATATGTTATGCCTTGTTGTTTAGAATTGTATTGATAGAAAATAAAATAAATGTAGAAAACTACTCTCTATTTGTAGAATTAGGTTAGAATCTAAAAATTGACATAGATGGAGTTGTTATTCAGTCATAAATAAATCCGTTTTCAATTGATTTGTTTATGGCAAGTGAGGAAAAATTATTTCCTAAAATCGTTGGTTCATTTAGGAAAATACATTGATGAAAAGTTTGTGGAATATCTGTTAGATCCCCAAAACTCGCTCGATCAATGCCTTAATTTTGGATTTCATATTTGCCAGCATGAGCAGATCGGTTGACCTTGAGATTTCATTTCCCACTAGGAAAATCCATGGCTGTGATTGGCTGCTGTGTATTTTAGTGTGCTATTTTCTTAACTGTCTCAAGGACGTTTCTTTGATGTATAAATAAACGAGAGTTGTGTGCTTGAATATATTGTGTTTACTGGGTGTTTGTAGAACATACTTTCTACGCTACATCAAGACTTTTGGTTCATCAAGAGATCAGGGTAGCCTACCTGGACGCTGGTTGATTGTCTCGTTCGCGTTTATCGACTAAGGTGAACTCATAATAGCTTCTAGCGCACCTAGTGACGAACTTATCAATATCAGTCACAATGGTATGATATTGAATAACAGTTTGTTTAGGCAGTAGTAACTTCAATAATTCTATTTCTTGAGGAGTTATTACATAATCTTATTGAATCATTTTGAAACATCTAATAATTGCCAATTTGGTTATCATTTGTTGAGTCAACAGGGCTTGTTTCAGCTTTTCGGACATACTAAGCAACCTTTTCTACCCAAGTCGTTACTCACATATCTTTAGACCTTGTCAATCATTTGCTTTTATAACCTTGGTCGTTTATATTCGACTGTGTGTATGCACTGCTTCCTTCGCTAGTTACATGTCTTGCCTATTTTTGTCTGACTATAAACAATTAGTCATTCTTCATGGTAATGAGTTGGCTCACTCACTCACTCACCTTCTCCACTTCTCTTCGCTTCGATTTTCTGTGTTTCTAAGCTTTGTATTCTCATCTCTATCTGCTTGGATGACTGAATGGAGTAAACTCATCCAACTGAATTCGTATTTCGATTCTTATTACCACCATCGCACAAACTGGGTTCGTCTATATAGAAATTGAAGAGAAGATTGATTTCATTGCGTACTGGGCTGTTTGAGCGAGCCACTGAAATGGTTAATCCTCCTTCGAATTCAAAGCAGCCACTAAATACTTGAACAACCTGAAATTAACTGATCATCATGAATTGTAAAACATCTCTTATAACATTTCCAATAGTGATACTTAAATTTCACTCCTAATTCAATATCTGTCATGTAAGCACTCTAGATTCACCCATAAAAATATAAGCTTGGTAAACAGAACAATTGAGTCAGTTTTCATCATCAAAAAGTTTGGATCCGTTGGCCAAGCACTATAAGTAACAACCTATTGTGGGAGAGAACAAATCAAATTCAAGCGGGGGAAGAAATTAACAAGAAGCGCTTTAAGTGGTGGATAGGATACACATTGAGGGAAGCACCAGAGGAAGTCACAAGACAAACCCTCACTTGGAATCATCCAGGCCAACGGAAAAGAGGAAGACGAAATAAGACATTTTACCAAGAAATTGAACAGAACTGGTGTTGGAGACGTTAGATCTTTAGGGAAAGATCCTAATTTTGTAATTTTATACTGAAAATTTTGAATTTCCATGTTTTTGCGTCAGAGACGCTTAATTGATCTACAGCTTACATTTCCCATCGGAAAAACCTTGACTGTCATTGGTTGATGGATTTTTTTAGTAGCTATCCCAAAGGCGTTTCTATCATGCATAAATAAGCTAGTTTTGTGGGCTTGTTGACTTAGTATTTTCTGAGTGCTCATAATTCAAACTTTCTACGCTATATCATGACTTCTTGACACTGTTCGCCGAGTTGGGGAAAAACGGATTAGAATAGCTTGTCATGTCGCTGAATCGTTGATCTTCGTTCCGTTTACCAATTAAGGTGAATTCGTACTTATTTCAAGCAATATCAACTAGAAAGGATTGTCCAGGACAGAGTAGGTTGGAGAATATTGGCCTGCGGCCTATGCTCCATTGAGGGTAACAGGCGATACTTAGTAAAGTAAATGTAAATTCACCAGTGAACTCTTTGATGAGGTTGTTTTCTTTGAATAACTATTAATACTACACCTGTTATCAAAAAGTTTTTCTTTTCTGTAGAGTTTGTAAGCATAGTAAGTTCCTCTTTTAGTCTAATATTATAACCTAACAACTAGATAAAAACATGTATTTTTCAATTAGGGTTATGGAAATTATTGGATTTTACAGAATAAAATCATCAGTCAATCATTGTTAGACCACCATTAGAAACCTGGAATCACTGGATGAACGTTTGGTCCTGGTATAGGACTCATCTGTGATAGTACGCATCCACGACTCCCAAACCTCTCAGGATTCGAACCCAGGACCTTCGGTCTTGCGCGAAAACGCCTGACCTCTGGACCACTGTTCCGGCCGGCATCCAGACAGTGTTAATGTCTAACTCTGACCAATCTACAAACTTTGCCTTTGTCTTTGGTAGTTACTGCCTACACTGGTCGACGTCCTATGCTCCATTCGGGGTAACTGGAGTAGCAGTTACTGCCTACACCTGTGACATGACCAGTGGAGTTCAACCCTGTCGCGTTTCTACTAGTGGTCTAACAATGTTTGATTGATTGATAATTTCAATGTGTAAACACACATGTATCTACATAATTATTTACAAATTCATAGTAAAAATTGAAAAACTGCGTAAAACCTATTTTCCTCAGGTACACGTGAACAAGCAATTGTACATGCATTTGCTAGTTCTGCATTATTATTTGAAATTGGTCGATATTGTGCATTGAATAAAATTCGTTATTGTTCTTGTGGTGATGATGGTGATGGCAGTTATGCTACTACTACTACTACTTCTACAACATCAAATTATCATACTAATAATCAGAATAATGCATTAGTCTATAATTCTCTTGGTCATTCAATCAATTCCATGGAGAGCACAAGATCAACGGCTAATATGCCAATGACTACAGATGGTCAACCAACTGTGAGTAAATTTTATTGGGCTGGTTGTTCAGATAATTTACGTATTGCTAAAGAATATACTTCATTATTTCTTGGTTATCCAAATCAACAAGTTCTACTGCCAGCTCCAATAGAAATGGATACCATGAATTTTAATTCATTACAAGATATGAATAATGCGAATCGTTTTAAACGATCCACTTATTCATCATTTTTAACAGATAATTATCAGTATGCAACAACACATCCATCTGATATGTCTAGTGAACAGGAAAATGGAGATGATAGAGTTCGAGAAGTAGGCGAAGTGGAAGACGACGACGAAGGAGGAGGAGGAGGTGTTGATGTAGACGTAGACGTAGGCGGAGATGTTGCTGAAGACAGTGATGAAACTGACATAGAAGAGGATGATGACAATGATGTGGATAATTCAAAATTATTTCATTTACCATATGAATATACAGATAGACGACGTCGTAATTTGTATAAAAAACCATGGTTTCATCAACAATCTACTACAGCACAAACTAATCCAAATTCAGATCAACAAATTTATTATAATATCATAGAAGAAGATTTAAATGATGAGAAACGGCTGCCACGTCATCCGAGATCAAAACAAAATAAAAAGAAATCTATATTACGCAATTTAAATCGTCATAATTATTTAGCAGGTGTTGTAGTAAGTTAAAACAAAAATATATATGTTTACACATTTTTGATAATATTTTGCTTTGTATTGCATTGAATGTGTATTTATGAAAGTTAGTAAATCAAAATGTGCTTCGTGGGGAAATTCTCAGAGTTCTAGTGAGAAAACGTGACCAGTGGAGTTTATCCCTGTCGGGTGTAGACAGTAACTACCAAAGACAAGTGGGTAAGGTAGCGCAAAATCTGTAGATTGTTTAGAGTTAGATATTAACATTGTTGAATGCTGGCGAGCACAGTGGTCCAGAGTTTAGGCGTTCTCGTGCGAGACCGAAGGTCTTGGGTTTGAATCCTGTGAGGTGCCGGAGTCGTGGGTACGCACTGCTACTGATGAGTCCCACACAAGGACGAAACGGTTCCAGTTTTCTAATGGTGGTCTAATAATAACTGATTGGTGATGTCATTGTGCGTAATAACATGGTCAGTTGATTTCATGCCATAAATATGATTTGTAAGCACAAACAACTAGATTTACCCAGCCTGAAATTATTTGCTTTAAACCTATTCACTTTAAGGCTTTTGTTAGTTGATTAAGTTACAAAACATGAATTTTATCTCCTAGACATATGTAAACACAAAAATGTATCATTTTTATTCTATTCCTTATATAATTTAATTTGTATCATGGGGTTGTGGAGACTGCCGAGTAACTTATTGAAATCAGTAATCAGTCATATGTTAGATCACCATAAGAAACTTGGATCGAAATTAGACATGTAAATCGTTCAATAGTGGCTCAGTAGTCCAGATGTTGAACGTTTGCGCTCAAAACTCAAAGGTCCTTGGTTTGAATCCATTGAGGTACAGTAGTCATGAATGCGCATTGTTACTAATGAGTCCCACAAAAGAACGAAACGACCGTCTTTCAGTGCTTCCAAGTTTCTAATCGCGGTGTAACTAATGATCGATTCATGATTTCATTCGTTTAATTTGAAAATTTTAAGAAAAGTTACTCTTTCTTATTAGACAAATAATATAATAGGCTGTTCTTTACTCGACATCTATTTTCCTTTATTTCCATTCAAAAATACCAGCAACATAATTCATCATTAACAAGTTTTATACATTAGTAAAGTAATAATGATCATTTAAAAAAAACATACAATAATCAATTTTTTTCTTTTAATCTCGTTCATTTGTATTATTTACCTTGCTAATCAATGTGTAAAGTTCATTCATTCAGTCTTGAAATATATTTAAAAGTAGTTATCGAGAACATATGTTCACTGGAATAAAAAAAGGCGTAATAAATTATACTGAACATTAATTGCTTACAACTTCTTTACAGACTGTTTGTTCATTAAAGAATTAAGCGTTAGATAAAATAATAACTTTACAAGCAAAAAAAATCAATAAATTTTTCTACTATTCTAACTAGAACCATAATTTACAATTTTTATTTTGATTGAAGCCTCTTCCTAACTGACAGTGCCTAAAAACTTTTCCAGAAGTTAAATAACTTACTTACTTTCGCCTGTTACTGCCAATCGAGCATAGGCCACCGACCAGTTTTCTCCAACCAACTCTGTCTGTCCTGGGCTTCCCTCTCCAGTTCTGTCTGATTCTTGTTCATTCTTCTAATATCTTTCTCTATTTCTTGGCGTACTGTGTTTCTTGACCTTCCTCTTTTCCCTTTGCCTTGAGGGTTCCATGTGAGGGCTTGTCTCGTGACCCAGTTGGGTGCTTTTCGTGATGTGTGTCCTATCCACTTCCACCGCTTCTTCCTGATTTCCTCCTCCACTGGAATCTGGTTTGTTTTCTTCCACAGTATGTTGTTGCTGATGGTGTCTGGTCAACGAATCCAAAGTATTTTGCGTAGACAACTGTTAATAAACACTTGTATCTTGTGGATGATGGCTTTGGTAGTTCTCCATGTTTCCGCTCCATACAATAGAACTGTCTTGACATTTTGTATTGGCAATCCTGATTTAGGTTTTGTTTGAAAGTTGTTTGGAGTTCCAGACAACTGTCAACCAAAGTTAAATACTAGTGATCAACTAGTTTTTTATTGATTTTCTAGCTGAGATTGGTTGCATGTTTGGAGTGTGTAGTGGTTATTCTAGTTGTGGATAACTATGAACACATCTACCAACCACTGACGTTACGATCTTAAGCTCTATCTCGTTGTGAATTAAATAACAAGTAAGAAGGGATAGTCCAGATGAATAAGTATTCATTTGCTGGTGGGTGACTTTGTGGTATCAGAAAAAAACACTGAAATCGCGCCAGAGAAAATGGGAGATAGGTAGAGAGCAGCAAATCAAGATGGCGCTAGCGTGCAAAAGCGTACAAAAGTATGAATAAACAAAATGTTCGGTAAAACGCTCACGAATGTTTCTATTCTTCATAAAAGTGAAATCGCTACAAGTGATTATTAAATTAAAAATTATCTCTGCAGACTTGTTAAACAAACTTGAAGTGGATTCACAAAGTCATGATTGATAGAATTTAACAGTTTATGTACAATGAATCCACCTGAGCTACAAATCTTCTCCACTATGTACAATGAAAAATATATTGGAAGACCAGTATTGCAACTCTATTCCATTGCATCCCATCCCCGTCGTCTCTTGTTAGATTCATCATTAGGTATGCTTGAAGCTATTACGGGTTCACCTTAGTCGATAAACGCGAACGAGACAATTACCAGCGTCCAGGTAGGCTACCCTGATCTCTTGATGAACCAAAAGTCTTGATGTAGCGTAGAAAGTATATTCTACAAACACCCAGTAAACACAATATATTCAAGCACACAACTCTCGTTTATTTATGCATCATAAAAACGTCCTTGGAACACTCACAAAAAAAGCACACTAAAATAACACAGCAGCCAATCACAGCCAAGGATTTTCCTGGTGGGAAATGAAATCTCAAGGTCAACTGATCTGCTCATGCTGGCAAGTATGAAATCCAAAATCAAGTCATTTATCAAACGAGTTCTGGGGATCTAACGTCCCCAACACAATGTTCAAACAAAGATAGAACTAGAACACTGAAATCTAGTTAGCAAAATTAATTTCCAAAATAACATCTTGTGCAGAATTTAGCTCATGTTGAAATTGATCTGAATTTCAGATTTTAGATTAATGTCCTAAATATTATTGTCTAAGCCTGTGTTATTGAGTCATCTGACAATAGAAACAGTTAGCTAATTGATTATTTCAACCTTGCCGACCTTGATCCGTTTTATCAAAGACACAATAGTTATGAATAATGACTATTGGTTCACAAGCTCTCCTTCATCGAATGTCCATTCAGAGGAAATTATCAAACAGGTTTATTGTGTTGTCTATCTAATTTTATTCTAATGTTATTCTGGAAACTGCTATCAGTGATATTGTTGGGGAGGTTAGATCCTGAGAACTCACTTGATAAATGTCTTATTTTCAGATTTTATTCACAGGCTGATCAGCTGACCTTGAGATCATATTTCTCACCAGGAAAATCCTTGGCTGTGATTGGCTGATGTGTTTTTTATAAAAAAAATGCTTTTCTAATAATGACTATTGACATTTACTTTGAGGATTTCGTCATTCTCGAGTTCTATCACGTCAAAATTTCAACAATAAAGTGTGTCATTAGGAAACGAATGTTAAGTAGAGATGGTAAATCAATAGACGAAGTATTGAAACTTCATCAATAGAGGTGGTTGGAACATGAGTTACGTATGCCTAACTGCTGACTACCTTTTTGAGTGATGTTTTTTGATATATGAGTACGAAGTAAGAAAGCTAGGAGCGGCCAAGGCAAAACATTGCACAAAGCCATGAAGTCGCTGACAAGTGGACTGTGTCATGTTGGTAGGTGTTGACTACCTAGTTGCGGCCCGCGATTCGAACGTAACCGATAGTTAGAGACCTAGAACGACATGACTCAAAATAATTTACAATGGCGCCGGTGCATTCACTTTTTGTGTTCTCTCAAATCCCGACCTTCTGAATTCCTCATCACCTTTATATTTCTCTTTCTAAATTTATCTCATTGAATGATACTTCTTGAATAATATCTTCGAACTCTAATCTTCTCCATTACTGCTAATACTTCTACTATCTCTACCACTATGGGATTTGAACTGACAATTCTATCTCTGTGCTAATATTCTATACCAACTTGAACTGATGTACGTACGTACGAAGTTCTGCGGCGCAACCTGTTGACATTAAAGTAAATGTTCATAATCACACTACCAGTAGGAAATGAAATCACCTATTAAAATACATTGACAGCTAAATAAAATGCAACTGATCTTTTCTTTTCCGCCCCCCCCCCCCGTCCGCCGCCAATAAATCATTACGATCAATAAATATTCAAACCGGTTATGTTTATATTAGTAATTTCAATGTCCAATCATTAAAACATAACGGTCCAGTGCTTTTTTTGCCTTTTTTTTTAAACTTAAGACCACCTGGTACGATCAGAAATATGTGACTAAAATTCCCAGTGTATCTCATCTTTACATATGTGTAAGTGTGTGTGTGTGTGTGCTTGCGGGCGGCAAACCACCTAACAAAAAAATAGGGCAACATTGTCACCTTGAATAATAAAAATTATTATTATTTTTAATAAAGTACACTTTTTGTTCTTGTTTTAAAACATCAAACTATCTAAATTATAATTAGTAGTTATGTTCTCATTGATAAGGAGGTCACATATTATCACAATATATATATTCAATTGATCTAAAACCACAAAAGTGTACTACTAATCGTGTTAGATAATATCAGAGGTGTACCATTTGTACATCTTTCAATATTAGATATATATAGATATATATGTATATAGATATTCATACACAGATAGACGCAGTGTGTATAGTTTGTTGTATTGTACTGTACTGTACTGTACTGTACTGTATATTATATGAACGAAATCTTTATAGGGAAAAACACAATTCTGTTATTACAGCAAAATGATTCATCCCAACCATTGAAAATTCCATGAATGCATACACATAAATTATCATTATTTATTATTATTATTATCATTATAAGTAGTAGTTTAACAGTAGTCGGAAAAAATTCACATAGTCAGTCAGAGAGAGAAAACAGAAGAAAAAGAAAATCGCCAAGACACATAGTTAACCTTTTCATAAAAATGATGTGCATTATTGCAATTGACTAGCCTGTTTCATTTAATGATTATTTCATGTGATTTTAGTATTTTTTTAGTCTTTAAGGGTGATGGTGAATTAATGTAAATGATCATAAAAAAAATAATAATCATAATAATAATTTCTAACGATTATAATGATACTACTGATAATGATATTAGTAGTAATAGTAGTAGTAATAGTAGTACAAATGATAATAGTCTTTTATTCACAGGGTTGTAATGCTAGTCTCATTTCTATCATCATAATGATAACATAATCATGAAAATAATGATTCTAGTTTTTTTATTTTTCTTACGATGATAAATGCCTTTTTACTTATTCATGTTATATATATAGATATATGTATACATATGTGTGCTGAGATAGTTGAAACTAATGAGTGTGTGTGTGAGCTTTTAATTTATACAAAAAAACGATGAATTCACATTCTTACACTGTGTAATAATGCAATAACTTCTTTGGCTTTGGTTATTATTTTTTTTACTTCGTCTTGAGAGAAATTTCTTTCTCCCTGACCATTTAGAGTTATTGTGTACACATATACGGATAATGAATTTCACGGAATAACTGCATTGCTGTAATAGGTGATGATTTTTACATTTCTAAATAAATGCCTAATGAACTGGATTTTAAACAGATTACAATGTGAACAACAAAAAAAAATCAAAATCATACATCATAATTGTTATAATGTATATTGCTGGAATTTGTAGTGTTTTATTCATTGCCTCTAATTGAAGTGAAGGAGAACACAGATGGGGCAACCGAATTGTATTTAACGAAAATTATAGAGTTACTCAGTAAAATAGGAAAACCATATCGTAAATCATTAATTTGCAAGATATCAGTTCATCATATCGAACTGGACTGTTCCTGTTGCAAAACATCAATCCATTGTCACTATTCATGCGTTTCATACAAATTCCATTGTGTTCTAGCTCTTCCTTTCTTGATCTTCCCCCATCTTCTGCTGCCAGACATTACGTTGACACTCACGTCATATACTACTTATAAGTAGCTCGGACCACACTAATAATCTATCATCTATTAGTGTTAAACTTTAAAATGTTATCAAAGTACTAGTGTAAAGTCATCCATCCTTTGATCAATATTCAATAAAAAAAA